CCTCTCTCTCTCTCTCTCTCTATATATATATATATATATATATATAGGACAAGTAAGACGAAAAATAGTTCAAATAAGAGGAATATGTGAAGTGGATGTTGTAATGGTGATTACAACGTGGGCTGAGTGAGTACAAATAAACATGTGCAGCAAGTTCAAAACGGATTCAACATTTTATTCATTTGCTTTGCACTATAGTATTAAAATCAAATACACAGATAATACAAAAAAGCTAAAAAAACATGAGGGACTATAAAAACCGTTCATACGAACAATGGGAAGGGTTTTGTAAATAGGACGGGAGTGTCTTTTTTAAGACGAGTGTTTTTTTTGTCAATAACTAGTAACATCAGTTTTTCAGTTTCCTGTCTGCAAAATACGAGTACCATAAACTAATGTAGAACATTATCGACACAGCACATGGAGATGCAAGTATCATATCTGTATCTGTATCTGTATCTGTATCTGTATAGCCGGTATAACCGCCTTTCGGCGTAACACACCAGCTTCGCAGGCACGCGGCGCGGCGGCAGCTGGCTATATTACACCGATCGACTTGTTACACCTAACCCTTGAACTTCTAGCTCTAGACATTGTTTAAAGCTATCTATTGACAGTGCCCCTACTGTACTTGGTGACAGTGAGTTCCACTCTGCGATAGTTCTAGGACCCTAGGTTCTAGTTCATAACCCTTATCATTGTCTAGAGTGACATAAAAAGTTTGATCTTATATAAACATGCATGGTTCTGCATAGTTCTTCCTAGGCGGGACATCCACAATGCGCTCATATACGGGGTTTCTCAGCAGTGTGTTTAACCATGTGTTTGTCTAAAGACCGCTTCTGTGCAGCTGAATAGTCACACTGGTCACACTTGTAGGATTTATTGCCAGTGTGTTTTGTCATGTGTAGAGTTAAAGTGCCTTTTTGGGCAGCAGAGTATTCGCACTGGTCACACTTCTAGGGCCTCTCTCTTGTATGCTTTTTCATATGTCTATATAAGCCAGATCTGTCAGCCGTCCTGTATCCGCACTCCACACACATGTAGGGTTTGTCTCCGGTGTGTTTAGCCTTGTGTGTGTCTAAATGACCTTTCTGTGCAGCAGAATAGTCACACTGGTCACATTTGTACGGTTTCTCACCGGTATGTTTTCTCATATGCTTGGATAGGTCAGACCTGTCAGCTGTCCTGTATCCACACTCCCCACACATGAAGGGTTTTTCTCCGGTATGTTTAAGTACGTGCCGCTTTAAATCGCCTTTCCCTGCAGCAGAATAGTCGCACTGGTCACATTCGTAAGGTTTTTCACCTGTATGTGTTCTCATGTGTAAGACTAGGTGAGACCTGTCAGCTGTCCTGTATCCGCACTCCCCACAAATGTAGGGTTTATATCCATTGTGCTTGGTCATGTGTGAGTTTAAGTTGCATTTCTGTGCAGCAGAATAGTCACACTGGTCACATTTGTAAGGTTTTCACCAGTGTGTGTTCTCATATGTACATTTAAGTTACAAATAATAGCCGTCCTGTATCCACACTCCCCACACATGTAGGGTTTGTGCCCAGTGTGTCTAGCCTTGTGTCTGTCTAAATGCCGTCTTTGTGCAGCAGAATAGTCACACTGGTCACACTTACTAGTAAATGATTTCTCACCTGTATGCTTTCTCATATGTACGGTTAGGTTAAACCTGCTAGCGGTCCTGTATCCACACTCCCCACACATGTAGGGTTTGTGTCCACTGTGTATAGCCATGTGCCTGTCTAAATGCCCCCTCCGTGCAGCAGAATAGTCACATTGGTCACATTTGAAGCGTTTCTCCACAGTAGCTTTCACCACAGGCCCGCCCGTCTGCTCTGTTTGACTCTGTACGGGAGGATGAACAGAGTTTACCCCGTGCGTTTCCTCCGATAGAACGTCCTCCTCCTTGACCTGCTGTCCTTCCGTGTCTGTTGCCGGGTCCTCGCTGCTAGTGCTACTTGTCTCGGTCCCAGGGTGCACAGTTGGCATCTCGTCCACAGGAATCTCACAGCTTCTCCCGTCCATAATGGTCTTAGAACGAAAACGAACTATTCGAAGTTGAAGAATAAAAAAAAGTTTTATAGTACCCATGCCTATATACTTATTAGGCAACAGCAAGTTAATTTTCAGGGGTGACATCCTCCACAGACTCCAAATATAATTGAGGATTAGGCAAATTGTACTTACCATGAAGGATAATCCCAATTATACCTCACACGAACTATTTGGGTATATCATTTACCTTATGCAGTATTTCCTATGCTTATCGCTAGGTGGCGCACGTGTACAAAGCTCTAATCGCAAAGCATCACGGGATATCATGACGTAATGACATTGTTCGCCGCCATTTGACGACGTGCGAGAAAGAGTCTGTGCTGTTCACCATGGGTGGGCATTTTCAGCTACTTGGGAGCTGAAGAACAGCAAGGGTGGGAAGATATACCCAAATAGTTCGTGTGAGGTATAATTGGGATTATCCTTCATGGTAAGTACAATTTGCCTAATCCTCAATTATACCTGCACACTCCCTATTTGGGTATATCATTTACCTTATGCAGACTTCAGAGCCGTGGACAGCACAGCCTGGCCAAACGTGTGTTGGTTGTTGCCCCTCCTGTAGTACTTCAGGAAGGTAGACTCTCGTGACCAGTCCGCTGCATTCATGATGCTATGTAGAGACACCCCAGCAGCTGTAGCAGCTGAAGTGGATGCTCCTCGAGTGGAATGAGCTGAGAAAGTTGCTGTGTCAACACCTACCGTGCCTAACACTGACTTAACCCACCTGGCCAGGGTCGCAGAACCAACCGGCCTGTGTGGTCTCCTGTATGATATGAACAACTTCTGCTCCCCCCCCCTTTCTTTCCGAAGGGAAGAAGTCCGCCTTAGATATTCCTTCAGGTATGTGAAGGCACACAAGCGCCTGTCCTGCGGGAAGGCCGCCCAAAAACACTTTCTGGCAGGTTTTCCTGGTCTAGAAGTTTTTAGCAGGGTAGGAATTGTCCAAGAAACACCGTTTCTACATTTTTTCATGAATCTCAAGTCGAGAGCCGCTAAGGTTTGACCTCTGTCGGCTGACACCAATGCCGCTAGTGTTACCAACTTATAAGACAATTGTTTCAAACTAAGACTATTAGCTGGGCAACAATGCAGAAGGTACTCTAGGACCCGACTGACGTCCCATGTTGAAACATATCTTGGACAAGGAGGACGTTTGTGAAACAGACGAGAGCTCTCATCAGTTTGGACACTAGAGGGTGACTACCCACATTACC